AGGGTGTATGCTAAATTTTAATTTCATAGCAGAAGTTTTAGTAATTTGTTAGGTTAGAATGTTAATTGATAGATTAAAATGTTTTAAAAGGGCAATAACTGATCCAACAACAATTGCGTATGACTAATGTCAAGTGTTTCCAACTTCGATCGAGAAATACCCGTATTTTTTTATGTCTCGTAAGACAAAGATTCATAGATATTGAAGTTTTCAACGAATTCCTAAATTTTGAGAAACTTAAATGACATCAAGTAAGCTCAAACTACAAGTAATCATCAGTAAGAAGAAGATCATCGATACGTTTTAATAGCGCTGGGTGTTTAAAAAATGATATTTTTAATTTATACATTTTCCTGCCCAAAACTGATGTTCTTTTTACTTTCGAAATTTCATTTTAAGCATGTGAATCAAAGGAGGAAAGAAATGTAGGCAATATACAAAATTATTGATATTTATTGAATAGAAAGCTATGTATAATAACAATAACAAGATAATATCTTTCCCCTAAAGGATGCCATGTCAAAGGAACTTGTTTAAAGCCAAGCATCGGATGACCTGAAAAATAAATCACTTCTTTTAGAAACTTCGAAAAATATACTTCCACTCTAACTGTTTTACATGTTTTAAAGTCTTTTCACATCAAAATATCATTTTTTAACCGCGTTTTTGCTTTGTTTCTTCTCTGCATGTTAGTGAAGAATGTATGTTCTGAAGTTATGTTTTGAAGTTATGCTCTGAAGTTTTGTTTCGGAAGAAGGCATGTTCTGAAGTTTCCAGATAAGATTATTAGGAGTTTCAACAACGTGTGATTCTAAGTGTTAGAAATAAATAAAACTAGATAGAATCTATCTCTTAATAATTAGAAAAAGTGCCGGTCAATTTGTTGTAATTTGGAGTGCTTAATTAAGATTGTCTCAACCATTATGAGTTTAAAGCCTGTTAAATCCTTACGACAGTTAAGAATGGATTAAATGAGATATATTTTATTATTATACAGTTAGTATTATAATTTCCATAATTTTTAACCGTTATGACGCACTGAAATAAAATTATCTCTACCATTATGAGCTTTACGATGAAGTTATCTACCTTAGGAATGAATTTAAATGTGATAAAATCAATTGCAAAGTAATAATCAAAAATGCCATCAAGTTTTTTGCATTTTGATGAGCCAGATAAGTTCAGATCACCTGAAGTAATAATGAAACTAATAGAATAGTATCTGTCATAATTTTTCTCTATCATAAGAAATTGAAACAGTTGTTATGAACAACTAATCCATGCATTATCCTTATCGCATTCTGTGTTAGTACAAGAGTTTGTTAGGGAAAATAGGTAAGTTATTTAATTTGACTATATTTACAGAAGTTCTGTTAATTACTATTTCACTCAATGCCTAATTGCTATCACAAACTCTAAATTACGTTGAAACAACGATGTTTATCCCCATATAGATCGAAAAATCAAGTCATATCTCTTATTCTTTTGTGTTAATTTTTAAAAAAATTATAGTAAATGCAGCTGTTTACCATTTTACTTTGTTTTTAATAATATTACTGTAGCAGTTATTTCAAATATTTCAATGTATTTGAAATAAATATTACTACATTTCAAAAGAATCTTATAAAATAAATTCCAAAAATGGAAGACTGGTATTAAATTTAAATTTTATGTTAAACCCTGGTGAAATTTCAGTCCTTCTGAGAAATAATAGTTAGAGTATAGAGAATAATTTGTATCCTTTACAAAAATCAATATTTAAGACCGAAATAAAGTCTAAATTCTGACGTTTTAATTTTTGTCCCTTAAAAAAAAACAATATTGCGAGTTGTACAAAATAATTCAATTTTTAACAATAAAAAGGAAATTGTAAAACTTACACGTTTTTATATCCAGTTCTTTTTCTTAAAAGTAATATCATCATTTATTTCTTGTAGATGTAAGATCCGGAGGAGTAAGAGTATGGGCTGAGAAGGGATGGGGAGGAATAAGAGTAGGATGGGTAGTGTTCTGAAGAATAGCTGTAGACTGGTGCAACACCGGAAGAGTAGCTGTAGCTTGGGAGAGCACTTGAGTAGTATTTGGCGGCTGTGGCGACTGGTGCTGCGTAGCTGACTGCTGCTGCTGGGGCTGCATAGCTGACTGCTGCTGCTGGGGCAGCGTAGCTGATGGCAGGAGCTGCGTGACTAACTACAGCTGGGGCAGCATAAGTGATTGGCTTAGAGACAACAGCTGGAGCTGCTGCATAGTATTTTTCAACGCGTGGAGCAACATAGGTGGTGGCTACTGGTTTGGACACGTAGGTGACTGCTGGCTTAGGAGCAACGTAGGTGACTGGTTTGGGAGCAACGTAGGTGACTGGTTTGGGAGCTACGTAGGTGACTGGTTTGGGAGCTACATAGGTGACAGCTGGTTTGGGAGCTACATAGGTGACAGCGGGTTTAGATACGTATGAGACTGCTGGGGCAGCAACAGTGTGTACTGCTGGCTTAACGTAAGAAACTGCTGGTGCAGCAGCGTATGTTAAAGCGGGCTTTGAATGAACGTAGGAATAACTATAAAAAGGGGAAATAAAAAGTTTTAATGTGAATAGTGAAAATACTTATTTTGATACACAACAGCAAGATAAAATAAGTCCAGTGTGAGAATTTTTTATATCAATCAGAAAGCACATTCAATTTGAATTTCACAAATATTTTTAAGTGGTATCTGTCACACATCAGAGGTAAGACTCGATTCACAAGTAAAAGATCAATATTAACTTCAGATATAATGTAAAGCAACAAGGAGCTTTTCCACGTATGTACGTATTTGCGTCAACTTATGTTCCCGATTTTTAAAAAATATTTATCGAGAAAAAGACCTAATTCGAAAAGAAAAGTTCAGTTTTTCCATATTTTACTTCATCTTAGTGATTCAAAGGTACTTATGAGTCAACGAAACATTAATACATTTTTATATTCTTTAAATTCAATAAACACACAGACGCAAATTTAAAAAATCTTCATATTTGATTTATGATCATGATTAGGGAAAATAGTGTATAAAAAAATAATTAAAAAATGTTACTAACAGTTAATATTTTGAGTTACAAATACTATTTATTACGCATTTATTTATTGCAGTGCGTTTTGGAACAAAAATTATTCCCAAATTTGAGGAAAATTATTTATATAAATGGGATTTGAGGTATCCTGAATAAAAGTCTAAATTTCAGTACTCTTATCATAAGTTATCTGCAATTAAATTAAAACTAAGAAAATTGCGAAAATTTTAAGCATACACAACAGTTTTATCAACAGAAAAATAAAGTGCATTACTTATTTTACTTCTTATATTTTACATTCGAAATTCGACTTGTTAATTTAGTTACATTTGATTAAAAGATTACTGGTACATGATCCTTTCAACAATATATTTTCAACTATCGTTTATAGACAAACACAAAATTGTAAAAAGGAATGATTGCTTTTTGAATTCTAAAAAATTGAAGCGAATATTTAAGACTAATATTTTATTTTATTACATGACAATTTTTTAACAGTTAACAAACTTTAAATATTAATTCAGAACATTAATTTAAAGTATTTATTATAAGTTAAAATATGTTTTTGCGAAGCATTATTTAAATATTAAATTATGATGAAATGAAAAAATATGAAATTATGATGAAATGATGAATGATGAAAAGTTTGACTTCGAAATTAGTAATTAAAAGTTAATTATAGTTTAAAATTGAACTTTCTAAATGACGGAAAAATAGAGAGACTCAACACTTCCACGTAGTACAGTTCACGGAGACCGGGATAGCCTGGTTGGTAGGACGACGTTGGGCTCGAGTTCAAAATTTTGTGAGTTTGAATCCCGCTGGCTGAAGAATGCCCGAGTATTAAATGGTGACTGGTGCATGTAAAACCTAGCGGAGTCACAAAGTCCTCCAGGTTTCCGTAACAAATTAATACCTCTAGAGGTACTGAATTGGAGATTGATCGTTCTCTGATTCAGGTCAAAATTACGATTTTTGAATGAATGAACTGAGTATGAAGAATTGTCCCTGTAAAATGGACTGTGACGTGTGTGTGGCTGAAGTCATATTTTTGGCCATAGATGGCACCACCGAAAAACCAAAAACGTACTCTCTGCCTCAAAATCGCTGTGGATTCCAGCATCAGGCTTGTTGGCGTTCGCATACGTGTGTTTTTCACAGCGTAGTTGCTATAGAACTACCTCGGTTTTCTACAGACCTCGCAGAAAACTTACGTACTTAAACGGGTAAAATGCTTCGTGAAAGTGCAGTAATTTAATTAAAAAATCTACTGATGATAAATTGCTACTAAAAAGCATCAATATCAATACAATTTATAATTTTTTTCTTGAAAAAACATTTTACTCGTTGCTGAAACCTGCGCAAGCAACACAACATATCTATTTTATTTATGTTTTTTATACCTCTAATAATAGTTAAGCCGCTGCACTATCTTCATGAATTCAAATTTGTCTACGAGTTCAACGTAGTTACACAATCGTTATTATTATAAATATTGTACAGCAAAATTTACAAACATAAGGTTCGCAGCAATTATACATAACGTTGCGCTGCTTAAAGGTAAATTGAATTTTATATATTACTAAAAAAATTGCTAAGCGGAATTAAATAAATTTTTATGCAATTAGACCTATAATTAAGCAACAGAAAAAAATACATTTTTATTTGTTTATTTTTTTGTGGTTTATTTCTCAATTCAGCTTTTTAGTTTCAAATTTTGAGACGCTTCGAAAAGAAGTCTCAGTAGTTCGTATGTTTGTTTTCCTGAAAATAAGAAAAATAAGGTGAACTAAATCTGCAATGCCCGCTAGCGGGCAAAAGGTTTTCTACTATCAGAGGTGTAAAGCGAAAAAGATAACTTGGCAACGCAATGTATACTATATTTAATTATGTAACTATATAATGCAGAGTATATCTATATAACTAGAGATTGTCATCTTAATGAAGAAGTTACCTTGGGGCAGCATAGTGAGAACCTCCATGTCCTCCAAGGAGATATGAGACTCCGCTTCCTAAACCACCATAGCCATATGATCCGCCGTAACCGTAAGATCCACCATAAGATCCACCATAGTTGTCCAAAGCATAGGTTTGGGGATACGAGTAATCGTATGAATAAGTGGCGGAGGCAGCAGCCACCAAAAGACTGAGGATCTAAAATTTGGAAAATTCTATTCGGTTATATATAATACGTTTTATAATCATACGTTTTCTAACTATAGAATATTTAACTGGTCCACTCTATGTGTAATACGATAAATAGGTTTTAAAGAAAAGTAGCCACAAAATGGCATAACATATAAGTGAAAAAGAAACTACTTTTATAAATGCCTGTCTGTGTGTCCTTATAGATTCCTAAACCATCTTACCGAATGCGATGAGATTTGGCCCGATAGTTCGAAATGCGAGGAAGATCATTGTTGACATTAAAACTTTCTACGACGAACCGCTCGAGCGGGATGAGCAAAAAACGGCATGGAATTTTTGTATCGCTTAAGCGTTAGTCATTGTTTTAGCCAATTAATTGATCTACGTATTTTAATTTTTCTTACTTTGTTTTGCTTTAAATTCTTTTTTGTGTTTCATATCTTTTTTATTTAAAAATTTATTTATATCTTTTATATATTTTTGATATTTACTTCATCATAAAAGTTGTTTTCATATTCTATAATTTGTATTTATAATTTGTATTTATAATTTATAATTTTTCTGAAATATTTATTTATTGACAACGAGAAAACATAAAGGAATATGAAGTTAATCAATACAATCTACCAAAACTTAACAGGTAGAGGAATAAAGAACGTGGCATATTATTTGCTCTTTACAAATTGACATTAGAAATATCCTTATAGATAAAAAGCGCTTTTTTCTCTTGTCTTATGAAAATCTACGAAAACATTAACATATTTTGAGTGCTGAATTACAGCAAGCAACTTTTTCCAACTTTAACTGTAGTTACCAATTAGTTTAGGCAGAAATGCGTTCACACTTGACATTAGAAGTGCATTTATAATTTAATAAGTTTTAAATGTTAAAGACGCATTCAAACCGTTGTATTAAACCCATTTAAATTGAAAAGTTTGCTAGGAACAACATACTTTATTCAAAAATTAAAGCTTTAAATTAAAAAATCATTATTAAGGAATTCTACCGTTTTTAGAACATTTTTTCGATTAAAATGAAAAAAAGAAAGTGAAAGAAATAACCTAAGAACAGTAAGCGGTTAAGATGGAAAAATCTTAACCGCTTAGTGCCCTCTGTTCTTTTTAAGGGATGATTCAATAAGGGTATATAAATTTAAACATTCTTTTTTAACAAAAAAAATAGTAATAATAATCAATGGCAATATTTTTGGAGCATTTGGTTGATAATATAGTTCCTTCTTATTAAAACTATCCCTCCCGATTCAAAAAAGGTTTTACAGCCTGATCTTGGTTATAGCAATATTCTGGCAAAAAGGTGTACGGTTAATTTATTAATTTGCATTCTAAAACTATTTTAGTATATAAAATAGTGGATATATTTCCTCATGGAGTCTTAGAAATTAGAATTTTATGAACTTTTCGTCATTTAAATTGGAGCAAAAATATTTAAATGCTAATTTTAATAAATATTTCATTGATCTTATTATCAGAAATTAGATAATTATGCAAAATATTATTGAAAAAGTGGGAATTGGAAATTTAAAAAATATTACCTTTATGACTAGAAACATTTGTTTCAGTTTTTCAAGTGCTTTTAATCGAAATTTTACGCGGACTGTTAGTAATGTTCAATCTTTCAATACAAACTTTTTAAATTACAGTTCTTTAACACTGCTTTTAAGCTTTAAATTGCACATGTTCGTATTNCATATTTTGAGTGCTGAATTACAGCAAGCAACTTTTTCCAACTTTAACTGTAGTTACCAATTAGTTTAGGCAGAAATGCGTTCACACTTGACATTAGAAGTGCATTTATAATTTAATAAGTTTTAAATGTTAAAGACGCATTCAAACCGTTGTATTAAACCCATTTAAATTGAAAAGTTTGCTAGGAACAACATACTTTATTCAAAAATTAAAGCTTTAAATTAAAAAATCATTATTAAGGAATTCTACCGTTTTTAGAACATTTTTTCTATTAAAATGAAAAAAAAGAAAGTGAAAGAAATAACCTAAGAACGGCGGTTAAGATGGAAAAATCTTAACCGCTTAGTGCCCTACGTTCTTTTTAAGGGATAGTTCAATAAGGGTATATAAATTTAAACATTCTTTTGTAACAAAAAAAATAGTAGTAATAATCGATGGCAATATTTTTAAAGCGTTAGGTTGTTAATATAGTTCCTTCTTATTAAAATTATCCCGCCTGATTCGAAAGTGGTTTTTTAGCCTAACCTTGATTTTAGCAATATCCTGGCAAAAGGAGTACAGTTAATTTATTAATTTGTATTCTGTAAATATTTTAGCATATAAAATAGTGAAATTATTTTTTCATGGAATCTTAGGAAATTTCATTATTTGATAATTTTTTAACGCAATGCATTATGTTTCAAAATTTTACGAACTTTTCGTCATTTAAATTGGAGAAAAAATATTTAAATGTTAGTTTTAGTTAATATTTCTTTGATCTTATTATCGAAAATTATATTAATATACAAAATATTATTTAAAAAGTGGGAATTGGTGAGAAAATATAGTATAAAAGTGGGAAAATATTACCTTTATGATGCGAAACATTTGTTTCTGTTTTTCATGTGCTTTTAATCGAAAATTTACGCGCACTGTTAGTGATGTTCAATCTTTAAATACAAACTTTTTAAGTCACAATTCTTTAACACTGCATTTAAGCTTTAAATTGTATATGTTCGTATTATATATATAAAAAAAATTCTGTTTATTATTATACAATTATTTGTTCCAACATCTTTTAATTTTAAATTCATTTGCTTATACATCCAATAGTTTCCGGTTATAATTATTATTTTTATTTTCAATTAGTCTTCAGATTTTCTACCGATATAAATTTATTTTTTGAAAATAATAAATATTTTATATAGTACATTTTTTAGTTTAACAAATTTTGAAAGCAAAACGTTTCTAGCATTATTTGTTAAAATTGTTCTACATTGGCTTAATTTATAAATATCTACACTGTCGTTAAAGTATAACATAAAATAAATAAATATGCATTTCTGATATATAACCTTATAATGAAAGTTTCCAAAAAAAATTTTTAAACGTTAAAAATATTATTTTGAAAATTTAAGAATATTCTAATCTAAGTCATGCCCCTCCGTCAAAAGGCTTACGAAAGAAAAATCAATCAATGATTGAAACTTGCGAATTGTTTTAAGGGTGTACAACCTTACTAGAATTTTCACATTTCATTTACTTTTGGTAGCAAATTACAATGTTAATTTGCTAATAATTGAAAAATTAAATTCGACCTATAGTAAAACCTAATTTCTCATTTTCTGCATCAAATAGTACATACCAATAAAATAATTTAAATTAAGTTCAATTATATATTTTAAGCTTTTACTAAGAAATTACGTTAATTTTATAATTTTCCTTAATTCATGTTAAAGATTTAACAAAATTCATCTTACCAAAAGTTGCATGGTTAAGGATAAGGAAGGAGAATGTCCAAACTAGCCACAAAGTACAGGTGGATAGTGACAATTAACGAAAAGCCCCGACATTTTATACTTCTCATCCTTTGCATCACGACCTTGACGAAAATGGCTTAGATATCTTAAAACAGCCCATTCTCTATTTTGGGCATGTCCCTATGACATCCTCCCCTTCCCTCATTAAATCAGTGGTGAATCTGCAATAAAATAATGACAAAATGATTAAAAATTCCCAAAAAAAATTTATACTAAAGTAAATGCATATATCCCATGACCAGAGGCTATATGACATTCAGATTTGAGACAAGATTGTTCACTTTAAAATTAATTCATTTCATTGAGAACGGGTCTTTCCAAAGAAAAATCGGTTATTTTATTTTTATTATGTTTTATGCAATTTGTGACAATCTACGTAACATTCTCGAAAAAGATAAAGAATAGAACAGTTTTTAAAGCGGTCTAGATTGTAAAGTTGACCTTGGCGAGTAGATTTTATTCTGTCTGCTGACTTATGGCCTCTGGTGATCCGCCTCCCTGTAGATGATTGTGTGAAGAAAATATTAACGAGCCCTCACAAAATGGCAAAAAAAGAACTAGTGTTAAGATCCCGATTTCAGACATAAATCATAAAAGACATTTCAGAAAAAAAAATTTTTGATTATTTATCGTACTATAGAGGATTAATTGACCATCAATACGTTTAAGTTGTCAACAATTAAAACTTTTACTGAGAGAGAACAACGTTAAGTGTTTTTAAACTTAAGCCTATTACTTTCTGATAATACTTATTCTCAAGTTCGAATAATTCCATCCATCTTTAGTTGTATTTTACCTCACACAACTAAAACTTGTAATTCATTTTAAAAAGTTAAATAATTACAGAAAACAGATTGTATTAAAAGAAAATTGTGTTGAAAAAATTGAAAGAAAAATACATGATTTATTTTCTTTTTTTGGAAAGAAAATTGCAAATGGAGTTAAAAATGAGTTTGTCATACTTCTTGAAGCTTTTGTAAAAACCAAAGAAAAATATAGGTTTTTAAATGCTAAAAATATTTCCCGTTTATAAGACCCCAATAAATACGACTTTTAAATACATTCTTTCAAGCGATTCCTTCCTAAATTTCGAATTTTCTTCTAAAACCCAATGAATAAAAGAAAATTTGTCTGATTTTGAAAAGAAATATAAATTTAAACGAAATTTTTCCCCTTATATAAAAATGTTGTAGAAAGCAAAAACTATAAAAATAACAAGTTTTTAAATTAAGAAATTACATTCTATTTGACATTCTAATTAGCTTCAGATCGACAAAATTTTCACTACCATTGTTAAGATCTGGCCCTAAATTGTAAGAATTTAAATTTAGTTATTGAACTTAAAAGGCTTGTTTATATCAAAAATCAACATTTTCTATCATATCAAAAATTAACATTTCAAAGAAAGATGTGAATTAAAAGCATAATAATTTGATTAAAAGTTTTAAGAAAAAAAAATGCTTTGACTATTACTATATATACATATATATATATAAGGCATGCACCTC